TACGTTTAGGGAATTTCGCCAAGTTCAGAGATGTCCCTTTCGAATTCAATGTTATAGGAAACGCAGGACCATTAACACCTCCAGAATTGAGCGATGAATTGACTAGCTTTCATTTTGAAGCAATGTTAAGTCTCTTGAATCCTACTGTGCTAAACCTTAGGGAAGATGAAGCTTTGGTCATAAATTGCCAAAATTGGCTACGCTATTTGTCTGATGACAGAAAGGGAGGCCGCCAAAGTCTTTCTCTTAGGGATGCTTTTTTGAATCTAATAAAAGGTCTTAACCCCCGGATTGTGCTCTTGGTTGATGAGGATTGTGATATTAGTGCATCTAGTCTCACATCAAGAATCACCACATGTTTCAACCATCTTTGGATACCCTTTGACGCATTGGAGACCTTTTTGCCTAAAGATAGTTGTCAGAGGACTGAGTTTGAATCCGACATAGGCCAAAAGATTGAGAACATCATAAGCTTTGAAGGGCACCAAAGAATAGAGAGGTTGGAGAGTGGGGTGCAAATGTCCCAAAGAATGAAAAATGTGGGTTACCTCAGTGTTCCATTTTGTGATGAAACTGTTAAGGAAGTTAGAGGTTTGCTAGATGAGCATGCTAGTGGGTGGGGGATGAAAAGAGAAGAAGGTATGCTAGTTCTCACATGGAAAGGAAACAGCTGTGTGTTCGCGACAGCTTGGGTCCCCTGTGAAATGAGGGATCATGTCGGTATGGATGCAAGTATGTCTTAAAAACACTTCATGAGAGGCAAGTTTGGACCTACCATGGAATGGATTCCAATTGCTAAATCCAGTGGTCCAAAGATGAGGCAGAGGAATTTCATTTCTTTCTCAGAGGGGTTGAAATTCATCTGCAAAAAGACAACTAGAGATAACGGCTGCATTTTGAGAATTATTTGAGGCAACTTTGTTATGGAGCTCAGTACGTTGGATCACATATGAAAGGCAAAAGGGAAAAAAAAAAATGTGTACCCTGTCCTTCTTGTATGAGACAAATTTGTCTCTTTCCTATTGTTTCTCTTTTATGCAGCTCTAATTTGTTTCTGCTCAGAGCTTTAGGTATAAGAAAAAGAGGTTGTTGTATGAAAATCTCTCTTATTATTATCATTACCCAGTTCTAATAACAATATTTTTCTGATTACCAGCAATCTTGGTGTCAAAACATATGCATATAAGGTAAGACTAACTATGACATTAAACAGCATAGTATCATACAATCCTACTCCAAAAGTTTAACGACCAACTCACATGTTGTTCCCTCAAAGAGCAGATTTGAAATACTACTGTGTAATTTATTTATTTTTTAAAACAGTTGTAATATTTCTTAGTAACCAAATGCATATAAAAGGACCACACTCACTTTAATTTTACGAGTAGTCATCTTCAACGTGAAGATGTACAGGCTAGGACCAAATAATGATATTTTCAGTAGAAGTTGATAATGATAAGTCATGCACAGCAGCATGTACACAAATGATCAAGCCAATGCAGTTAGGGGTCCAGATGGGACCTCCTGTGCTTTTTGTTTTGTGTTTTAATGGAAATGAAATTTGATGTTAATTGGAAGGAAAAAGGACAACATGGTCCATGAAACAAACCGAATCCGACCTGCCGGATTTGAACCAGCGACCTAAGGATAACTCAAGGTGGTCCCACTACACAGTGCCCCGTGATGTTTTTGCTTTTAAATACTCAAAATGTTCTTGTGCTTAAAGCTCCATTGATAAGTTCACTATAAACTGTTAAGTTAAAAACTTTTCACCTTTTTATAATTAAGTTTAAAAGTTTCTACCTTATTTTTAAAAGCTTATTCTGCTATTTTTATAAGCTCGCATTACATAACAGTGAAAATAGATAATAATTTATAAATATTCTCTCCTTTTTTTTTTTTTTTTTCTAACCCACTGAAATGCCTATAATGACTCTAATGCTTTGTCATATAACCTGGTATTCTGCAACAATAATTTATCATTTTTCTCATCAAAGAATTTGTCTGTCATATCAACTTTGAATGAAATAATTAATATGCATTTGTGGCCATGAATGAGCATAACATTCTCAGCGTGTTGTTTATGTTATTTTACATATAAATCATGGAACTTTGAATAACATTTCATAAAGCAATATATTTTCCTTGATTGAATTAGATGGTATAAAGGTCATCATAAGTCTAATAAAGTGATATACTTAAGATACATTAATTACTTCACCCAAACATGAAGAATATTTTCACAAAGAGAAGCTAAACAAATATAATTTAAAAAAAGATTGCAAGAGAAGATAAATATGATAAAACTATAATATGGTGATAGAAAAAAAAGTGAATAATTACAAATTATAAAAAAATAGTTGTATGAATAATATTACTTTTTCAAAAAAATATTCATATAAACTCATTTGTGGATTTTTGTTAGTTAATCAATAAAAAAAATGATGGTGATGAAAGACAAAAAAAAAAGTGTGTTTATAGAAGATGCTTTGACTCATGCTATGTTTGTTTTGAGGATCAAAGTGTTTAAATGTCCAATAATCTAATTAGAGATATATTTATATGTTGAGAGTGAAACTTGCACATCAACACACAAAGTTAGATCTAATTAGGTAATATTAAATATTTATTCGTTTTTCTATAAATTAAAACAAATAAAATACATGTAATGTAAAATTAGTTGAGAATGATAATTATAATCTATCTAATGATTTCTTGCTGATGTTTTTGATATACACAATTAAATGGAGGGGAAAATTCTGGTAAAAACATTAAAGTAGTGTAATTATTTAAAAAATATTATCAAAATAAATAAAATTTATATTTTTAAAATATGAAATCTTAAAAACGAAAGTCATGTACGAGTTCATTATTTAGTTATTTTTATTCAATTTAAATTATAAATCCTCTTACATAATATCTTTTTTTATTATTATTTAAAGAGTCAGATTTTTATTTTAAATATTTTATACAACCTATTTAGATTTGTGTGCAGTGAAACTTTTCATTACCTCAATTTCTGTCATCAATTAAAATTTTAAATAATCATTACATTAATTTAAAATAAAAGAAAATGAGTTTTTGGTGAAATGATACTCAGGTCCTAAAGCCTGTGAAGTAGGATATAATATTCTTTAAACATATTTAAAATCAAACTTCTACTTATATACACAATTTTTTTAACTAAAAATAAATAAAAAAATTTAATTAAAAAAGAAACATATACTTAAAATCATACCATGAAACAAGATTTCTAATTAAAAAAAACATACTTTGTAACAAAATTTACAAAAATAAGATAATGATTTTATATAACACAACTTTCTTAAAAAAAAAAAAATGTTTGGGATTAATAACTTTTTTTTCTTATAGTTTTATAAATAAATAAAAAAAATTATTTAAAAGAGAAACATATACTTAAAATCATATCATGAAATAAGACTTCTAATTAAAAAAAAACATACTTTGTAACAAAATTAAGATAATGTTTGGGAGTATTTTCTTATAATTTTTTATAAAATTATTTGTTTGGGTAATTCAGAAAGAAAATCCTACTACGAAGAGATCTAAAAACGTCGACAGCAGGATTCGAACCTGCGCAGGCATAGCCCAACAGATTTCGAGTCTGTCTCCTTAACCACTCGGACATATCGACGTTATACTAATTGAACTTCAGGAATTTTAAAACTCCTTAAAGAAGTAATTTTTCCAATTATTTTCACTTAATTTTATATTTCAACAAAAACAATACTTTTTATATGCTTGTTTAAATTTTTAAAATTAATTAAAAAAATATTTTGATAAAATAATTATCCAAATAAGTATATTTGAAAGTGAAAAATATATTTTTTATAACTATTAAGTAAATATAAAACAATTTCTGCTTTTATTAGAACACTTATAGATGAATCATTTTTTTTCTTAAAAATTTCTTTTTTTTAGCCTAGATAAAATCACAATAAAATATTTATAAAAATATGAAAAAAAGGATAATAACTTTAAAAAATTGACCAATTATAATAAATTTTTTAAAACTAAACTGGTCACTATATAATAAACATATGGACTTACTTTTAAAAGTTAAATCAGGTTTGAACATCATTCAATGAAATAATATGTTTTTTTTAATATTTTTAATAATATGGTGATAATTAAGTACAAAACAAATTTACTAATAATTACAAGATTTTATAAAAAATAAAATTGTAAGGAAGATCATCGTTAGAAGTTCCAACAGGGCATATACTCAACATATAATATAAGAAGAAGGAAAGACTAAAAATTGAGAGTGAGATAAAAATGTAAAAGAAACAACTACTATTTAAAACTAATGACTTGTACCAGAGAAAAATAAATTATCCTTTAAAAACATTAACTTCAAAAAAAAAAAAATAATAACTGATTGAACCTATTAAACCTCCCAATTTTTTTTAGTTTTATTCGATTCCATATTCTATCAATATTTTGTATTTTTTATCTATTCGATATTTTATCGATTTTTTTAATACCATATTAACTTTCAAACAGTTCTGATTGAACCACGGGAGCTAGTTCAAATAAATTTACACTAATTAACAAAAAAGAATGTGTCATGTAATATATATTATTAGCCTTTCTCTAATAGTTTATATATATGCTAACATGTCAAACAGAATTTATGCTAGTTTTATTCCTTTGTTCTAGATTTTTTAATAGAATCTGGTGGAATTAAGATAAATTGGATGATGCATCTATACGAATAGGATCCAAAATGATGAAGGAAAAGTGAAGCCAAGAACCATTAATAAGAAAAATGAAACTGTTAAGCAGAAAATGTCTCAAGTATCTATCATAAATATGATAATTGGCTTCTATATATATGTAGCCATTGCACGAATTAAATTAAAATGCAACACACATCCTCATGACATGATATATATAATCTAGAAAATGCAAATGATAGTTCCGAGCAGATAGATATAGAAAACACAATTCAGATCATCATCTCTTGCCACATTATCTTAAATGGGGTCTATTAACAAAGACTTGATTCTGCTCTTTGATCTGCTGTCTTGCTGTGTAAATCCATCTCCATATTGGTATATACATTGAACAATCCGGACAAGGTTAATGGTAACTTGTACGAAAGATTTGGAAAACATGGAGTCCATAACCAAATATTTATTCAGGTTTCGCCATTCTTTGTCAATCACAGTTTCGATGTACTCTCGGACATTTTCTTCTGAAAGACTAGTTTCATGCATGTAACTTACAATTGAATTTAGGGTTTCACCTCTCTCTATTTCATCCTGTGGAAAATAGCAAGCACAATGTTAGCCATGAAGTTAAGTACCCTCATATTATATAATGAGGTTAAGAAATATAAAGCGATATTTTACCGATGATGTTCCCAAATCATTGCTAAGCCTATAAATGGTGCATGAAGAGCGCAAGAGATCACAATAGTTTGATGAACAATGAAGCGTTTCCTCTGTAATATCTTGGTCTTGACTAACCAAGAAGTAAGAATGAATAAGAAAAACCCCTCCTGAGCATGAGATCCTTGCATTTTCTAGGAACTCATCGAATGGTGGAATTACTTTGTTGTAAAGCCATTTTGCTTCTTGGAGGTATGACTTGCACAAATCAGACCACTGTATATGAAGTAATCAAGTGATGAACAATTTAGCTTGTTGACAATAAATATAAAAAGGGAATGTAATTAACATGGTTCACATAACATACAGCTTTTGTTAAGTAAGGTAGACATTTTATGCCCCTTGCTTTGAAGATGTCATAAGCCATCACATTAACAGTGTTGTAGAGGGCTAGAAAGCACATTATCAAGTAATCGGGAAGATTGTTTATAGCATTCACGTCCCATCTGATGCACATGCATAAAATTTATACTAAGAAAATAGAAACATCAAAATTTAATTGAAATGAATTTTTCCTTATTATATTAACAAACCTCTCAACAGCATCTGTGAAAAGCTCCAATTCCTCCACAGTACCGTAGACATCATAAACATCATCGATGATTGTGATTAACTGCACCACCTTCGTAATATCTTTGCGAAAACTAATAAACTGAGGTTCAGAAACCATTCCTACAGACCAAAAGAAAGACTCCACTAATCTATCTCGAGCAAAGTTTAACTTCCTTCCGAGACCAATCTCCGTCCACCACCTATGTAACAACACATTTAAAAATAAATAAATATAATTTATTAGAATTTCGTTGAAATATAAAAGCTAGCTTAAACCATCTTCCTTAGGGTTTCCTTTTCTTCTCTAAAATAAAATCTCTTTTGTGAACTCTTCCTGCTCCCTCTCACCTTGACATTTCTTGTAGTTCTTTTTTATGTGATGACAGAACCATGTTGAAATCTAGCTTTGCAAGCTCTAATAGTAAGAGATTATGTGGTTCCTTTTTATTGTATGAGTTAATATAACGTCGTGCGTCTAGTCTGTGAAAGCTTTGGTGATGGGGAAGCCCCTCCAGAACATGCCTAACTTTTTCTGCCACTTCTGCCTCTGTCCCTTCATTCATTAAGTTCATGAGATGTGTTCTTGAAAATGCCTTTGCCTCCCAAAGACTTTCTCCTTCCAAGCTCAAGTGCGATGCCTCATACAGACTTAACATTCCTTGCACATCATTTTTAATTTCAACCTTAAATTTTCCCTCTTCATCTCTGAAACCCTCGAACACATCTGCATGTGATTCATAGAATTATCTTAACATAAATTAAACAACGTTCTTAAACATGAGTAATAATAATATAGAGACAAATACATGATAAGAGATAATGTATTTATAATTAAGATTCCATCCCCTTCATCACAAACACAACAATATTTAATTAAATAAATAAACTATTTATAATCTTTAAAATATTTATCTCATTTTAAAATATATTCAAATATTTATTTTATTCAAAATATGATTTTCATTTAAACATAGGTTAAATTATACTATAATTTAAAATAAAAATTTTAATATTTAAATTGTTTTTGAAGTATAATCTTTTCAAAAACTTTAATTAGTTTTTTTTTTCTGGGTTATTTGTGAAGGAGAGAGGATGAAAAAAAGGAAGAAATGTAGGGTGAAAAAACAATTCTGAAATATTTTTTTATTTGGATTAATTTTTATTTTTATTTTACTTTATAGAGAGAAAGAAAAAAAAACAAAAAGGGCATATAAAGTGAAAAAAGAAAACACAACAAAATTAATATTATCTAATTTTAAGAAAATATGTATAAATATAAAATGATAAGTGGTGTGCATATTAGAATGGTAAGTGTAAGATTATGGTGGAATTTCATTATGGTTAATAAGTTAAGATTAGACCTTGGGAGACATGAAAACCATGTTGTCTAAGGATTCGGAAACAGAGAGCAGTTTCATGCAGGGTTTTTTTTCTTTGGTCTCTAAAGTTTTGAATTGAAACAAACTGGTGAAGGGCTTTGCTTATTTCCTCATTGAACTTGTAGGACAGCCCCAAACGCTGGATGTCATCAATGAGTTCAAACAAGCTATGAGGCTTCCTCTCTATTCCACGAAGCATAAACCTTACCTTCTCCTCTAGTTTTGTTGCTCTCTCTCTCATTGATTCAACCTGCTCCAAGAAGAGCACGTGTATCACAAAATCATTGGAATAAAATTTACTGATATATTCATTCTTCAAAGCTTGCACAAGTGCCACACGATAGAAATAGAAGGATAAAAGAAGCAAATTAAATACACGAAGTGAAGTTACTTACCTCTGGATGATTTGTGAGGGACTGGATAAATTCATCAGTCCAAAGATTGGGCTGGTAATTACCTGAACGTCTACTTTCATCTTGTGTATATTGGCCATCCTTCTGCTGTCCCATGACAGTACAGATGAAATGCTTTGAAGGTCCATTAAGAAATCTGGTATTGACATGAGTTCTTTGGTGTCTAAGGTGAACATGTGATCTAGATACAATTTGTGTGGTAGACAAGCAGTAAGGAAGACTCAACAGATCGCTGCTCATATTGTACACTTTATGTCATTCCTTGTATATCCAGCAACGTTCATACCTCTCCACTTATAGTCATAGAACTTCATCAGGAAAAACAAGAGGCCTACAAGTTTTTTTTTTTAATTAATATTTGATGTTAATGGATATAAGTTAGTTAAATGGTCAAGCTTCTTTAATGGTCATAACTATTAAAATTATTAAGTAGTTGAAAAGTTTTGATCTTTGGTTCTTAGGCATGCCATCCGGGCGGGGGGAGGCGGGTTTTGCCTCCCGATCCCAGCCGCCTACTTTTTTAACAATCCCCGTCCCCGTCCCGATCCTCGTCGGGTTAGAAATTAAGTTCTCATCCCCGTCCCCGCTGAGTTTCGAGTTTCTGCCTCCTCCCGTCCCCGATCTATATTATTTTTAACAAGATAATTATATTTATAATAAATTAATTTTATTATGTATTTTTATATATAAATAAATATTTATAATTTATAATTATTATTAATTAAATATACATTTTAATTTATTATATTTATATTAAAATATATATGTAAAAGAAATATTTAATTATTTTTTATTTATATATATATATCTAATATTTATAATATTATTATTATTATTATTATTATTATTATAACAATGTATTCAAATATTTGAATATTTATAACATTATTATTATATTTGAATATTTATAACATTATTATTATAATATTGTATTCAAATATTATACATAAGTTAATTCATTTTTAAGTTGTCCATATATAGTTTATAAGAAAATATTTAATAAGTTAATTCTTATTTAATTAGTTTGAAGTAATAAAAGTTTAAATTATTAATTTCTTTTAATCCTTTAAAATGCAATTATTTTATTAAGATAAAATTTTATATATGATAAATAAGCATAATAAGATAAAAAAAATATGACATAATAAATATAAATTATAAATAAACTAATATTAGTTATTAAGATTTATGAAAAATATTTAGAAAAAGATAAAAAAAATTAACTTTGTGTTCATCAAATTGGTTGAAAATATTGAAAAAAAAAACAAATTGATGGGAGAGATAAAGGAAATGTTTAAAATATAATAAATTAATTGATATAAAAGATTGAAAAAGATAAAAAAAAAATTAAAAAGTGGATAGAAGAAAAATAAAAATTGGTGAAATATAAAAAAATAACTTTATATATAATAGAAAAAAAATGAAATACTTTTAAAATATTAATATTTTAAAATTTAAATTTAAGTATAAAGTCGGGACTGGGACGGGGCAAGGTCCGGGTGGGGATTGCATTACCCATCATCGTTCCCGTTCCCGACTTTTAAAGCTGGAAAACCCGAACTCGACCTCGCCCGGTCAACTCGGATTTTTCCCGTCAAACTCGGGGCAGGGACGGGTCGGTCCCCACAGGACGGGTTTAATTGTCATCCTAGTTCTAATATATTTGAACCTGTATGACATATCTATATTCATTACTTAACTTCAAAAATAAATTATCTTTTAGTGATCTTAGATGCACGTTTATTCCGTTACAATTTTACCAATTCACCAAATATTATAATAAAAATAATTATGTATTGATAATTATAATAATACAAACTAAAAGAATCCACGAACCAACAATATTTTTCCAAAATTTAATTAGGTCTTCTTAAATTTTAAAAAATCTAAATGACTTTTTTTACATCTAATTAACAATCAACTATTTTTGGTTTTAATTTACTCACAATATTAATTTATAATCAACTTATAAATCAAAATAAAAGAGTTGTATTGTTATATTTTTAAAATTAAAAATTAAGGGAAAATAAATAATTAAACCAAGAAGTTAACTTTTTGTTGGCAAAAAAATATTAATAATAATAAAAGAGGGAAAGGACCATATCTTTCAAATGGGTGGTAACAATCAATATCTTCTAAGTTTTATTAAAATAATGTTTTTATGTTGTAATTATAAATTTTATCTTTTTATTGTATTTTGCGTATTTCTTTTATAATATATATCATAGAGATGATTTCATAGTTTATTAAAAAAAAAAACTTAGTATTATTTTAAATTTCTTTTTAAATTTTTTTTCTTTTGCATATTGTTGTTATTTTAGATTTTGTGATAAAATAGTTTTGTCAGTGTATCTTTTGTAAATATATTTATTGATGAATTAATGAATATTTATTATTAAATATATTTGTAAAATTGAAAAAATATTCTTATAAAAGATATTTAATTTTTATTGAACATCAAAGTATTTATTTTAAAAATATATAATTACAAATATCTAAGAAAATTTTAAAATTGCTATATTCATTAAATTATTTTTAATTTTAAAAATTGACACCCAATTAACTAATCTGCATCCATCCATGTCAAATGCAGTGGAAACTTTGTCCATTTCAGTGACTTTTTGGTGTGATTGTTTCCACGTTTACGCAGTCTAAGTAGAAATAAGTGTGTTAATTTGTTGAATATATTGTATTTAATTTTGTCTTTTCAACTTGATTTATAGATAAAATAACAATGAATTTCATGATAAAAGTTACATTCTAATTTATAAAAATAAATGAAAATTCATATATAAATAAAATCACTTTTACTCTCATATATAATTTTACATGATTAATACGTTTATATCATTGTACAATAAAATTAATTATACAAGACCGTATAATTGATAAAGAATCTGATTTTTACATTATTTTTTTAATAAATTATACATAATATTTTTAGAATACTAAAAAATTAATAATATTTATATTGATTTTATATTAAATTTGTTATGATAATTTTTATAAAAAAAATTAATTTTTTAAGTTAAAATTAATTTATATTTTAAATAAGTATAAAAACAATTTTATATTTTATAAAAATTAGACCTATTATATCCAGTCTAATAAATATAAATAAAATTTAAGCCCCATAAAAATATTTAATCAATTTTATTAATTAAAGAAATTATCTTTTTATCAACAAGATTTTAAAAAAAATTATTACACCAAAAAAATTAATATATTTAATAATTCATATGTTGTATTCTATCTTGGTTCAGTAATAACATTTTTTAATTAAAAATACACTCAATTTATTATAAAAAAACATATAAAAAAGATTATAATATATTTTATTCTTAATTGATTATCTAATTTAATATAATGACTAATATAATTTTTTAAAATAATTTCATTTTAATATATATGTTATTGGAAACGTATAATTTATTTGTATAATTTAAAATAAATATTAGTTTTAAAATTAAATTGTTATATCAGAATATTTTATTTTTAATTTATTTTTTGTAAAATATTAAGAATATATATTATAATAAGTAAACATTATTTATAAAAAAATATATTTATTTATTTATTTTTAAAAAATAATATAAAATAATTAACTTATTTTTTGTATTAATATTTATTTACAGTTTATATATAAATTAATTTTATTTGTATTTATTATATTATATAATTAATTCATATTAAATTATATCTATTTTAATTTATTTTTATTTTTATTTTATTAAAATTATATAAAAATATTTTAATCATTTATCACTTTATCTTATTATTTAAAATTTTAATCAATTAAATTAATTTTATTTTTTATAATTTTTTTATCTATTTCTCATTCACTTATTCCCCTTTTTTTCAATTAAAATAATTTTATTTTATACTACTTTTTGTTTTAATTCACTCTCTAATCCAAAAAAAAAATTATAAATAAATATTATAATACTCTTTATTTTAAAATATCTAAATAATGTTTATAATATTTATCTATCTCTTTTTATCATATTTCTAATATTTTTATTTTTTTTCATTAGATGTTACTTGAGTATCACCAATACTTGAGATGCTTTTGGATTTATTTTTTCCTGAGAAAAAAAAACCCATTTGTACTGATTTCGATATGTTTATACTTCACAATTTTATTAAAATGAATATAAAGGATGATATTTTTCGACAATATGTTAAAGAAATTGTTAAATTAGAAGATGAACAATAGAAGAAAATAAGAACTTTTTATCTTTTTAAGTGGTTGGTGAAACATTTTTCAATGTGTATTATTATTTGTGTATGTATAACTATTTTATACAGGAATATATATTAAACCCTCGGTGAAACTAGATAAAGAAACTTTTAACAAATATTTAAAAATTAAATATATTTACTTATTAAACCTTTTTTCAGGAAAAAATAACATTTAATAAGACGTTGTGGAGGGTTAAGCTAATTTATAAAACTTCATTCATATAATTTTAATATTCTTTTTACCGGCTTATATTTTTATATTTATTATCTATCAAAAATATTTCTCCACCTTAACTCTTATATGTATATTATGATAATATATATAATGAATTTAGTTAATTATCCTATTTTATATATATATATATATATATATATATATATATATATTATCATATTAAAAATATAATTATTAATATTAAATAAATATTATTCAAGTAAAAATTTTATAAGTTAAATATTTTATTGTGGTTATTTGCATACATCATTAACATAAGATATTTACTCACAGTTATTAAAAATATAAAATATAATACCTTAAAATTTATTATAGTCAAATTTTTAAATATAATTTATTAAATTATAATATTTTTAGACAATTTAAATATTTTTATAATCAAATCCATTTATTAAAAATTATTATTATTGTTAAACTATTATTAAAATAAAAAATATTTTAAAAATATTATTATTATAATTTAATATTTTAGTAATATAAAAATATTAAAAAATATTAATTAAAAAAAATAAAAATTAATTATTTTATATATATATATATAGAGCACGAGAAAAATGTATAATTGAATATATATATATATATATATATATATATATATATATATATAAGAGAAGGCTTATCCCTTATAAATAATAGATAAATTTATAATTAATGTAATTAATATTAGGAAAAAAAATTAAGTGAGTATAAATAGGTGGGTTAAAGATTAATAAAGAGAGAAGAAGAGTGAGAAATGGAAGAGAGAAAGCGAATAAATGGATGA